TCGGGCTCCCTGCTCGGTGGGAAGCCTGCTTCTCCCTCTCCCACTCCCCCTGCTTATGTTCCCTCTCTCGCTGTCTCTGTCAAATAAATAAAATCTTAAAAAAATAAAAAGATAAAAATAAATAAAAAAGTCTTCTGGAAGGAATCTTAAAAATAGTTTAGTAAATCCCTCCCCCAACTCACATATATTTTTTTTCTCCTCCTGGATTTTTAAAAACGAGGAAACTAAAATTCAGAAAAGTGAATTAATTCTCCATGTTTACTGACCAGGGTGAAGGTAATAACCATAATAGCTGACAACTTAAATACCTCCTATAATGTGCCAGGTGCAGTTTTAAGTGATCTGCATATATTATGTAATCTAACCCTTATAATAATCCCTTGAAGCAGGACCTATTATTATCTCCATGTTAAAGATGAGGAAACAGCCCCAGAAAGTTTAAGTGGCTGTCCAACTAGCAAATGGCAAAGAGGGGAATTAAACCCAGGCAGTGATGCTCCAGAGAATTGTGCTCTTAACCACTACATCGAAACCCAAGATTAGAACTGTACATTTTCCAGTACATCATGATGCTTTGTGTTGTATTAGTACCATTTCACTGTATGCTTAAATGCTAGTACCATTTCATTTAGCTTAAATGCTAAATGAACATATCATTAAATTTATACATAGAGACAACTGGACCAACAGCATCTGGATCCTATAGTTTGGTGGACTGTACCTAATAAAAAATAACTACATTCCAAAAACATTTGTACCTCATTTATGAGCAAAGCATAAGTATAGTCTTAACTTAAACACTGGTTTAACCATGATTCTGGTCAAACCAATTTACTATGTAGATACTGTCATATTTCACTCTAAGTATGTTCATTAGATTAGTTCCTACTGAACAGGGACTGTGTCAATCTTGGTAAGAAGCTTTTTATGAGACATATTCTTATAATAATAAAGCAAAATAGAAGTGCCTGGGTGGCTCAGTCAGTTAAGTGTCCAACTCTTGATTTCAGGTTAGGTCATGATCTCAGGGTCATGAGATCAAGCTCCATGTCAGGCTCAGGCATGGAGCCTGCTTAAGATTCTCTCACTTTCTCTCTCCTTCTACCTCTACCCCCCCTCGCATTCTCTCTCTCTCAAGGAAAGAAAAAAAAAAAGCAAAATAACATTCAAAAGAAAAAAACCTCATAAATTACATTAAAAAAATAATTAGGTTATTCTGTAGTGACAGAATGCTGCCAACTATTCCATACTATCTAAATATTTAAAACTAAAACAAAAAAGGGACGCCTGGGTGGCTCAGTCAGTTAAGTGTCTGACTTCAGCACAGGTCATGATCTCAGGGTCCTGGTATTGAGCCCTGCATCATGCTCCATGCTCAGTGGGGAGTCTGTTTGTCCCTCTCCCTCTGCCCCTGCCCCTGCTTGTGTTCTCTCTCTCTGATAAATAAAAATCTTTAAAAAAAAAATCTAAAACAAAAAAAATTCTCTAAGAACAAAAATAACTAAGATAAAAAGGCTCAGTAATAATAAAGATTATGTTTAAGAATGTTGTAGTACTTAAAACAGTACAAGAATCAAAATCATGTTTCATTTGGTGATATATTTTATATATTATTCTCTAGCACCATTTTCACTTTGGTTTTCCTTTTGACTTCTACATTAATTTCCAATTATCTGTGGAGTTTCCAATTCACAGGGTACTAGACTGAAAGATAAACATAAGATGGTGAACTCACAAAGGAAAGCATAAGTCAGCAGTCATCTTCTCAAGCATTATACAGTACTTATATGGAGCAACAGTTATTCACATATTAATGATCAACTATGGCTGGACAAAGCCAAAAATAATCTAGTCATAAAATATCTGGTCAAATACTCTAGTCTAGTCATAGTCATAATCACCTTTGACCAATTGATTCTCTTCATGGGCACCTCAGGTTTATATATTTTTTTCTGCTTCATCCCATAAGGCAAATCAAGTGCTGCTTCTGGGAAAGGAGGAATTCCTCCTCCAAGGGGAAGTGGTAGAGGAGGTCCCCCAAACAAAGGTGGTGGTGGTGGTGGTGGTGGTATACCCATCATTCCAGGTAAAGGAGGTGGAGGAGGAGGGAGAGTTCCTCCAGGTAGAGGTGGTGCTGGTGGAGGTGGTAGTGGTGGGGATGACCCACCACCTGGCAGTGGAGGTGGTGGAGGAGGACCTGGAATTCCTGATGAACCTAAGAGTCCATGTCCCTGAAACATATGTAATACAATGTTTAAAAGCTTACAGTAAAATATAACAGCAAAGAAAACTTATCAGTAGACATTGGCGGTTTAAGATTACATACACTTTATTTAATTTAGTAACATCAAAGGGCTTAACAGTAACTGAAAAAAATTCCCATAGATTTTTGATAAGCATTATAAACTCTGTAGTACAAGGACTACTTCTGCTAACACACTATAAAAGTTGGCATCCTCAAAGATTTTGTGAAACACCTCTCCAAAATAATGAAAAATTACCTATCATTATAAAAACACGCAAAGAAGTACTGAAGTAGCTTGAGCCTATTAGACTAGTTGGTTTGAATATAGGATAATTAATACAATCATAGGTCTGATTCCCTTGGAGCCAATTAGCTTTACACAGAGTCTATCACATAGCACCAGTAACTTAGCAGTCTTCTAGTACCAATAATTAATACTGAGTAACATCCATTTGCGTGGTAATATATGTTTATCAATGTTTTTACAGCTATTATTTCTTTTCATTGTTATTATAACCCTGTAAAGTAACTAGGGCATTTTTATCTAAACTTTATCTCACTGCTTATAGATGAGAAAAAACGTAACTACAAAAAGGTTAAATGACTAACCAAAGGTAGCAGAGTCTGAAATGTGGTTAAATTTGAATGTGGGTTCTTCTTACACCTAATGCAGTCCTCTTTCCACTATAGCAGACTATCTCCTCATGGAGTCACTTGCCATGAAAAGATTAACTCACACGGATTGGATGATGAGGACAGTATAACTTACTTCTACCATAAGAAATTGACTTCAACCTCATTCTCTAATGATAATGGATAACAGATGAAGGACAGTATCTCATTCCAAACTGTTTACTTTTTAAGTTAATCTGTACCTGTTTCTTTAAACCATTGCTGGTTACAATGGTTCACTTCTAAAATAAATGAATATTAAAGTGAAGTTGGTTATTATAAACATTCCTAAGAAAATCCTACCAATGAACAGATGTATTTGTAATCAAGATATGACATTAGATGAACTGAATGAAAAGTTTAAAATTAATAAAATTTCTTGGCATAGTGTTATTTTTATTTGGGAAGAAAGTCTTCTTATCTTTACTAATATGAATTTCCAAGTTGGAGTACTTAAAAGTACTAACGAAAGTTAGAAATGGCTTTACAAAATAAGTTGAAGCATATTTTAAGAATAATCAATTTAAAGTACTGACCTATGTATAAGCATATTAAAAATTAACAATCATAGAATCATGGAAACGTTTCTCATAATATTTAATATGCACTGTCCAATATTTTTATTCATATGTATGATGTTTATGTGTGTATATACATATATGCAACTAAAGTATTTATACACTCAACAAATAACAATCCTCCTCTGGAATGCAATCCTCTCCTGAAATTAGTAAGTATTATAATATGCAAAATTATTTTCATTTTACTTTTAATGTAGCAAAATTATAGAAAACAGATTTTTATGATCTTGATTGAGATCAAAGAAATTATAGAGAAAATCAAAATAATTTTTCTGAAAAGTTTAAGAAATTAGTAATTTACAAGTTTTATGTATAAATAGATTTGTTGAATACTTTGAAAGGTAAAATGTATATCCAATTTTTTATTGAAAGAGAGCAAAATTATATTTCTTAACATCAAATTTTTACTTATTAGATCATATCTATGATATGAAACTTGGGAAGCCATAAAAATGCTATCACTTTTTACAGAGGATTTTACTCAAGTTAAATGCATGTTTCACAAATTTAATAAAGAATCTCAAATAAATGCCACCAGCCTTTAAAAATCAAATCATATCAGCCCTTCTCTTCCTTCTCATGAACAATTAGGAATGCAACAATTAAATTAGGCTACAATAGATTATTGAGAATTGAATATAGCTAATGAATAATTTAGTATTTGGCACAATTTTGGGTACACTAGAAAGGACTGTGTGACTCTGCTTTTTTACAGATCAGTTAATTTAATAATAAATAAGCAACTACTCGCTAAATAGTAAGGCCTTGTGGTAGGGTGACATTGAGGAATGTCACCATCTGGGGGGGGCGCAAAAACAAAAAGAAACTGAGTTCTCAGAGATGTGAAAAGGGAAGGCAGATGATACAAAAAAGGAGAATGACTTAATGAAAGAAATTATCAAATATTATAGGTAAGTGAAACAGACTAAGGGTATGAAAAGCATTGCACTGAATAATTTGGAGTTCATCAGTAACTTCTGAAGTCATTTCTCAGTAGACTGATGGATACAAATCTAGTCAATCAATAAACATCTACTGAGCATGCACTATGTTAAGAGCTGTTAGGAAAAAAAAAAAAAAACAACACAGGCCCCAAATGGCATCAGTTAGGCTGAGTCCCCAAACCAGAGCTTAATACATAATCTAACTGCAGTTTCAACATCCCCAAGAAATAGTCTTAACAGGTGAGTCAGGAACTTTTAAATCAACAGACAATATGTCAGCCACAGAAGTCCTCTCAAGCCCGTAATGGTAGATAAAGTAATCTGCATAAGACCTCTTGCTTTTCCCCCTAAGGGAAAGTGGCAGGGCCTAAAAGATCTTTTCCTTTCCCTAATAACTTGTTGCCCAACCCTCTTTTCATAAAAACCTTTCATTTTGTACAACCCCCTGGAATTCCCCTCTGCTTACTAAATGGAATGGTGCCAAATTCATAAATCATTTAATAAAGCCAAATAGACTGTCAAAATTTATGTGGCTGAATTTTGTGTTTTAATGAACATTTTTTTCTTCCATTTTATTTTCTCAATCATTGTTTTCATTAATGGGCTTTGTAGGTTAAAATGCATAGTAAAAACTAAAAAGAAAACACATACACAGAAAAAGGAAATTATTCTCACCAACACTGATAATCTTCCATTTCTTAATAACCATTTTAAACATAAAAAGTGCCGAGGGTATTTAAAAAAATAAAAATAAGGTGTTGAGAGGACTTAATCAGTTCTAAAGTTTAGACACCATAACTAAGATCTTGAGTGTATATGAGTGCTTCTCATCATAGGTGATGCAGGAGGAAATGCAAAATTTCTAGGTTTTGAAATTATGCATCCAACTTTTCAAATCATCAAAAAATTTTTGCTCCTGAACATTCTTGATTGTGTAATATATTCCATTAAAACTACTGAGGGAAGTTTAAGCAACTAATACCTTATTTTTACCCAAACAGTAAAATTATTTATTGTCCTGGAAAATTAAATCTGTTGAGTTATTTCAACTAAAATGCAAAACTGCCAAAAAGTCTGCTTCTGGTCACATTTTTCCTTGCATCTAACAAGATAATTTTCTACCATCAAACTCACTATGACATGACATAAAGTCTATACCTTCTTTCATTACCTGGGTTCGAAGTTGCTGGATTTCTGTTTCAAGCTCTTTAATTTTTTCTTCTCTTTTTTGAAGTTCAGCTTGAGCTTCCTGTCGAGCTGTGAATTCTTCATCAAACTGCAATGATCACCACCATAAATGTACACTTAATAACATAGTTTTGAGAAAGTTTTAAACAACTTTATGTATTAGATAAGTGGAATGTTTTTTGCTTTATTGAATTCCCAGGTCATTCAGAAAATCAAAGCTCCAGATCACTTTCATAACAATTAAGCACACCTGTTGGGGTGGGTTACTGATTATGGTGTTAGCAGAGAGGAAATATGGCAGCAACCTGAGGTAAAAAATACCCATTTTCACACAAAAAAAAAATTTTTAAAGATTTATTTATTTTAGAGAGAGAGATAGAGACAGACAAAGTATGTGGGGTGGGGCAGAGGGAGAGAATCTTCAAGCAGACTTCCCACTGCGTGCAGAGCGAGACTTGGGACCCCATCTTGCCATGCATGAGATCATGACCTGAGCGGAAACCAAGAGTGGTATGCTGAACCAACTGAGCCACCCAGGCGTTCCCCAAACAAAATTTTAAAAGGGTGGACTGAGAAGTCTCTCTTCGCATATAATGGACATTTATACTGTTCTGTTATTGAAAAATAGGTTTCAGAATTATTTTCTTTAATGTTTCATCCTATACATTTAACTTTATCAAATTAGAAAATGAAACCTAGAAATGCCTGCGTGGCTCAGCTGGTTAAGTGTCTACCTTCAGCTCAGGTCATGATCTCAGGGTCCTGGGATGGAGTCCTGCATTGGGCTCCTTGCTCAGTGGGGAGCCTGCTTCTCCCTCTGCCTGCTGCCCCCCCACCCCGCTTGTGCTCTTGCTCTCTCTCTCCCTCTCTCTGACAAATAAATAAGTAAAATCTTTAAAAAAAAAAAGAAAATGAAACCTAAAAATTCACCATCAAGCAGTTCAACTCTGTAACTATATTTAACCTTGAAAAGAGAATACACTTTTAGAATGCTCAAATGATTGTACTTTAACACAAATTATAATATTTCTATTACAATCTTAATTGTCTAGCATCCAAAAAGTGGTATTCCACAAAATCTGGCAGTAGAATGATATATGGATAGCCTAAATGGAATTCTCCTTCAGATGTTTAACCAAAACACCTGCATAAAATACTAAAAGAGAGAAAATGAGAGGTTAAATTATGATGTGTTGGGGGAAGGAGTTAAGATGGTGGAGGAGTAAGGGAACCAATGTTTGCCTCATCCTTCAAATACAACCACATGAATATCAAATCTTTATGAATTCAAGAAATCGTTAAGAGGACTGAGAGACCAAACTGCACAACTACAGGGAGAGAAGAGCCACACTGTGGAAGGTAGGAGGTACAGAGATGTGATTTAGGGTAATAAAGAATTACAGATGCTGTAGAGGGGAGGGAGCCCAAATCATGGACAGAGGAAACAGAGTGAAAGAGTGAAAGAGAGAAAGCACAAAGTGCACAGAAGATCACATACCAAGAACACTTCCCCAAAACCATACACTGAGAAAATGAGAGGGGCTGATTATCATGAGTTTTTACAACCAGCAAAGCTAAAAGACTTAAGATTTAGAAGTCTGCACCATGGCCATTGTGGAACCTGGGGATGCAGTGGTACACCTGTGTAGGAGGCAGAGGCCTGGGAGCAGATGGCACAGTCTGAGGATCCCCTAGGACGCACTAGAAGAGAAAATTCCTCCTTCTTGGACTGTATCTGCTAGAGGAGGCAATGCATCTCGAGGGACAAAAGAGCCATCAGGTGGCATTGTGCTGCCCAGTTCCTTAGCATAGGGAAAGAGACAGCAGCTGAGGGCAGCTAACCTGGATGCTGGCTTTCTGCTGCACTTTACTCTAAACTTCAAGCTCTTGTGTGTTGGTGCAATTGCACTTATGGGACAAACTGACGCCAGCCCCAGGGTGGTGTGACACTCCTCAGAGGATCAGCATGGGTCCATGCTTAATAGATACCAAAAGTTATGAGTTTTGAAACTCAACTGATGTGCCTGAGATAAAAGACAGGTGCCCTGCACTGCTGGGGAGGTAACTGGCCTGGATACATAAAGGGTGAATGCAGGGATTTGAGGGAAGCCTGAACACACAAGAAGAGACTTTTCGCTCCTCTGTCAGGGATTCCCAGACACTGGCAAGCATGAACTCCCCACACAGCAGACGCCTGAGGCGCCTACACCAAGCCCCACCTCACTGTGCTCTGAAGAAGCTTCTTTACGAGGGCAAGTGTGCCTAAGAACCAATGCAGGGGGGCACACCCCCAGAACACCAGCACAAATGCCCCACATGCACCAAGTCTACTGACCATAGAGTACTACAAAGCTTCAACTCTAATGGAAAGAGGATCACAACTCTTTTAACAAGCAGACCAGAGCACACCTAGGAAAAACTCAACACATAATACACAAGATCCAAACACTCCCCATTTGAGGCAAGAAGAAACTCTGCAGAGGACTGACCTGGGGAAAGAGCAGCCAAAAAACAGCAGCAGAGTATACACAGCATATACCAGAAGCAGTTCCTGAAGTGTCAGGTGCTGGAATGTATATGACCTCTCCTTAATAAAGCTATTACTCTCATAAGCAGGAAACATATCAGGCTTTACTAGCACACAGAAGAAGACAGAGACCTAGACCAAATACCAAAATGGAGGAACTCATCCAAAAAGAAAGACCAAGAAAAGGTCATGGTCAGGGATCTACTAGAAACAGATACAAGTTATATACCTGATTCAGAATTTAAGAGAAATTCATAAGGATACTATCTTGGCTTGAGAAAACAACAGAAGACACCAGGGAGTCCCTTATCACAGAGATAAAAGACTGAAAAACTAGTCAGGCCAAAATAAAAAATGCTATAGCCAAAATGTGAAACACACTGTGTGTAATTATCCACAAGGATGGAAGAAGCAGGGGAACAAATAAGCGATACAGAAGATAAAGCTATGGAAAATAATGAAGTTAAAAAGAAGGAAAGAAAAATGTTCAATCATGAATGTAGACCTAGGGAATTTAGCAGAGTCCACAAACCACAATAACATTTGTATTATAGGAGTCTCAGAAGAAGAAGAGAGAAGAACGGGGCAGAAAATTTAATTGAAATAACAGCAGAAAAATTCCCTAATCTGGGGAACAAAACAGAAATCCTTACCTAGAAGGCACAAAGAATGCTGATCAAAATCAACAAAAGCAGGCAAACACCAAGACATATCATGGTTAAAATTTACAAAATATAGAGATAAGGAAAAAATCCTAAAAGCATCAAGGGAAAATAAATCTAAAACGTACAAGGGAAGACAAATAAGGTTAGCAATGGACATTTCCACAGAAACTTGGCAGGCCAGAAGAGTGTGGCATGATATATTCAACATGCTGAAAACAAAAAAATATGCAGCTAAGAATATTCTATCTAGCAAGGATCTCATTAAGAATAGAAAGAGAGATAAAGAGTCTCCCAGAAAAACAAAAACTAAAGAAGTTCATGACCACTAAACCAACCCAGCAAAAAATATTAAAGGGGATGCTTTGAGTAGGAAAGAAAGACCAAAGGTAACAAAAACTGGAAAGGAACAGAGAAAAATCTCCAGAAATGACAACTTTACAAGTAATACAATGGCACAAAATTCATATCTATCAATAATTATTCTGAATGTCAAAGAACTAAATGCTTCAATCAAAAGACACAGGATATCAGAATGGATTAAAAACATGACATTCTAAAACCTTTGGGATGCAGTAAAAGCTGTCATAAGAGGGAATCAATATAGGCCTACCTCAAGAAGCAAAAAACTCTCAAATACACAAACTAACCTTACACCTAAAGGAGCTAGAAAAGGAACTGCAAATGAAGCCTAAAGCCAGCAGAAGGGAAATAATAAACATTAGAGCAGAAATAAATGATATAGAAATTAAAAAAAAAAGAGTAGAACATATCAATGACATTAGGAGCTGATTCCTTGAAAGAATAAAATTGATAAACCCCTACCAGACTTCTCAAAAAGAAAAGAGAAAGGAACCAAATAAATAAAATCACAAATGAGAGAGGCTAGATCACAATCACCACCACAGAAACACAGCTATAAGAGATTATGAAAAACTTTATGCTGACAAATGGGGTAATGTGGAAGAAATAGATAAATTTCTAAACACATATAAACCACCAAAACTAAAATAGGAAGAAATAAAAAACTTAAACAGACTGATAACCAGAGAAGAATTTGAATCAGAAATCAAAAAACTCCCAACAAACAAAACACTGGGGGCAGATGGCTTCCCAGGGGAATTCTACCAGACATTTAAAGAAGAGTTAATACCTATTCTTCTCAAACTGTTCCAAAAAATAGAAATGGAAGGAAAACTTCCAAACTCATTCTATGAGGCCAGAATTACCTCAATTCCAAAAGTAGACAAATATCCCACTAAAAAAGAGAATATATAACCAATATTCCTAATGAACATGGATGCAAAAGTTCTCATCAAAATACTAGCAAAACGAATCCAACATACATTAAAAAAAATCATTCACCACAAATCAAGTGGGATTTATTCCTGGGTTGCAAGGGCGGTTCAATATTCACAGATCAATCAACGTGATACACCACCTTAATAAAAGAAAGGGTAACAACCATATGATCCTCTCAATAGATGCAGAAAAAGCATCTGACAAAGTACTGGATCCATTCTTGATAAAAATCCTCAACAAAGTAGAGATAGAGGAAACATACCTCAATATCATAAGGACTTTATATGAAGGACCCACAGCTAATATCATCCTAAATGTGGAAAAACTAAAAGCTTCTCCTCTAAGGTCAGAAACACGACAGGGATGTCCACTCCCATCATTTGTTCAACACATTGCTGGAAGTCCTAGCCTCAGCAATAATACAATAAAAGGCATCCAGATTGGCAAGGAAGAAGTCAAACTTTCACTCTTCATAGACTACATTTTTTTTTATGTGGAAAAGCCAAAAGACTGAACCAAAAAATTGCCAGTATGGATACATGAATTAAGTAAAATCACAGGATACAAAATCAACGTACAGAAACGTGTTGCATTTCTATACACAATAATGAAGAAACAGAAAGAGAAATCAAGAAAATGATCCCATATTCAATTGCACCAAAAGCCATAAGATACATAGGAATAACCCTAACCAAAGAAGTTAACAATCTGTACTCTCAAAACTATAGAACACATATGAAAAACATTGAAGAGGACACAAAGAAATGGAAAAACATTCCATGCTGATGGATTGGAAGAAAATTGTTAAATGTCTATACTACACAAAGCAATCTACACATTCAAAGCAATCTCTATCAAAATACCATCAGCATTTTTCACAGAGCTAGAACAAGCAATCCTTAAATTTGTATGGAACCACAAAAGACCCCAAACAGCCAAAACAATCTTGAAAAAGCAAAGCAAAGATTCAGACTTCACAATTCTGGACTTCAAACTCTATTACAAAGCTATAGTCATCAAGATAGTATGGTACTGTCACAAAAACAGATACACCAATTACTAAAACAGATTAATTAATAAACCCAGAAATGGACCCACAACCATATGCTCAACAAATCGTTGATAAAGGAGGAAAGATTATCCAATGGAAAAAAAGACAGTCTCTTCAACAAATGCTGTTGGGAAAACTGGGCAGCATCATGTAAAAGAATGAAACTGGACCACTTTCTTACAACATACCCAAAAATAAATTCAAAATAGATTAAAGACCTAAATGTGAGATAGGTAGCCAGCAAAATCCTAGAGGAAAACACAGGCAGCAACATTTTTGACATCAACCATAGCAACCTGTTACTGGACATGTCCACCAGAGGCAAAAGAAACAAAAGCAAAAATTAACTATTGGTACTTTTTCAATATAAGAAGCTTCTTCACAGCGAAGGAAACAATCAACAAAACTAAAAGGTGAACTTTGGAATGGGTGAAGATATTTGCAAATGGCACATGTAATAAAAGATTAGTATCCAAAATCTATAAAGAGCTTATGAAACTCAACACCCAAAAAACAAATAATCCAGTTAAGAAATGGGCAGAAGACATGAATAGACATTTCTTCAAAGAAGACATACAGATGGCCAACAGACACATGAAAATATGCTGTACATCACTGTCAGGGAAATACAAATCAAAACTACAATGACATACCACTTCAAAATGGTCAGAACAGCTAAAATTAACAGCACAGGAAATAGCAGATGGTAGTGAGGATGCAGAGAAAGGGGAACCCTCTTACACTGTTGGTGGGAATCCAAGCTGGTACAGCCACTTTCGAAAACAGTATGCAGGTTCCTCAAAAAGTTAAAAATCAAACTACCCTACGACCCAGCAATTGCACTACTAAGTATTAGTATCCAAAGGATACACAAATACTGAATCAAAGGGCCATATGCACCCAGATGTTTATAACAGCATTATCAACAATAGCCAAATTATGGAAACAGCCCAAATGTCCACTGACTGATGAATGGATAAAGATGATGTGGTGTGTGTGTACACACACATATATATGGAATATTAGTCATCAAAAGGATGAAATCTTGCCACTTGCAAGGACGTGGATGGAGCTAGAGTGTATTATGCTATGCGAGTTCAGTCAGTCAGAGAAGGAAGTACTGTACGATTTCACTCATATGTGGAATTTAAGAAACAAAACGGATGAACATAAGGGAAAGAAAATTTAAAAAGAGAGGAAGGCAAACCATAAGAGACACTCTTAGCTATGGAGAACAAACTGAGGGTTGCTGGAGAGGAGCAACTGGGCTAAACTGCAAATGGGCTAAACTGGTGATGGGTATTAAGGACATGTCCAGTAACAGGTTGCTATGGTTGATGTCAAAGAGCAAATAGGCTAAACTGGTGATGGGTATTAAGGAGGGCATCACTTGCGATAAGCACCGGGTGTTATATGTAAGTGATGAGTCGCTAAATTCTACTGCAAACTAATATTACACTATATGTTAACTAACTAGAATTTAAATAAAAACTTGAAACATACATACATACATACATACATTCATAATGGTGTGCTAGGCAGGAGAGACCATCTCAATGGTGAATATCCATTTACTGCATCCTGCCCATCCCTAACCTCAGTCAGGGCACCAAGCCGAAACAAACAAGCCTGCATACATAGAGTAAATACTGCTTATATTCATCTATAGAATATATGTCCTTTATTATCAATGTCACTTCAAGTCATTTTAGAAGGCAATATATTTTTCCAAATATATTATTTCTGTTTCTAAATTTGATATATCTTACTCTCCGGAATTGTCTTTAGAGTTTGTGGAACAATAAAAAAGTATTTTCACTGTTAATAAATACTCATCCTCATAGATTTTACCTTTGGAAATTAAAAAATGTCAAACCAATCCAAGTCTGAAGAAAGAACAGGTAATGGAATTGGATTACAATAATGTCTGGGTCAAACATGAAATGCTAATTAATTCTTTTATTCCTCTCTACTTGCGTTCATAGAAAATGTTCCACAGAGGTTAGTCCAAATTGTTTCTCATCTTTAAAAATTTCAAACCCACCCCAGATCCTCCACAGTTAGTAAATGACCATGTTTCCTAGGTCACTGAGAAGATGCTTTTTTAACTGCACTATACTATTCATGTTAAGACTTACTCTCTATTTCCACCCTCCCTCCCAATGTTAGATTCTTCTGTGTATTTTTTAAGCATGATACAAACTGTACAGCTTTCCTCTATAAATTATTTATTTGTACATTTGAAAAGAGGCATGCAATGTTTCTGCTTGTAATTTAATGTGATCTTAATCTATAAACCCATAGAGTAGGAATCACAGAAGTCTGAGATATGCAGGTTGGAAGACTTTTTACAAGGCCACTAAACATATCCTCTTCTTTTAATGATGACAAAATTAAGATCCAAAGAGAGTAAGTGGCTTACTTAAAGTCACAGCTAATTTGTGGAAAAGCTAAGATCAGATCTTACAACTACTGCTTCTCATTCTAGCCACCCTACATTTTTTACTACTTTACATAGCCTCTTAAAATCACCCAGAATAAGAAAAGGCATTCAGATAACCACTGGGAGACCATACATGTTTTTATTCTAAACGTTGGAGATAAGAATAAAGCACTAAACACTGAAATGCTTTTTTTTAAAAATTATTTCAGGACTCCATTTCCCATAATATATGCTTACAGAAAATTTTGCCAGACAGATCATCACAGTTTGTGCCAGTCTTGTGGTGTCTAATCAAAGTGTCAGTGAAAAATTAAGGAGACTCTTAAGATTTTCAAAGGGAATTTTAAATGTGCTACTTAAAACAAGAACATTACAAATATAAAGGTCTATTAAAAAGCGTGCATTTTCTTCCACCAATAAAAATGACAACTTCACACAAACATTTTATGCTCAAGCTCTGAAAATCTAATCTAGTAACTGAAAGAGCAAAGACATTTCTTCAGATGCCCTGAAGTAACTTCAGTAATACTCTATAATTTCTAGAGTGATAGCAAAAGCGATTATCTAATCTCCAAGGTAAGTCATAACTTTGAAGAGACAGCAATATGTAAAGCACTTTATCTTGCTGTCAGAAGGCTGAAAACTGAGACTTTTTAAGACTTGTGCTTCAATCCTTCTCCCTGCACCAATAGGAAAGAAATACTATACTAATGCTTTATAGGATCTAGAAAAAAAAATTCAACTTTTGGTAGAAACTAGTACAACTGTAGTTATGCTTTCATGAAACAAGGAAAAGACAACCTGAAATCCAAATAAAATTAAGGCAGCCATAAAACTTGTATTTACATAAGGCATTAACATACAAAGAAAGGGGAACCTCAAATTCCACCAAGCCTACATGAAGTTGCAGAACCATTTAAAAGTGGTAATTATAGGGCGCCTGGGTGGCTCAGTCTGTTAGGCGACTGCCTTCGGCTCAGGTCATGATCCTGGAGTCCCTGGATCAAGTCCCGCATCGGGCTCCCCGCTCAGCGGGGAGTCTGCTTCTCCCTCTGACCCTCCCCCCTCTCACGTGCTCTCTCGCTCTCTCTCTCATTCTCTCTCTCTCTCAAATAAATAAAAATCTTAAAAAAAATAAAAAAAGTGGTAATTATAAAATTCAAAGAAGATAAATCTAAGCAGAGAGAGACAGAAAGAGATAAAACACTATGTCGTTCTGTTGCTATTTAATAGCACTGTCTTTAAATAGCAATAATAGGTTAGACTAGCTAAAAATCTAACAGTTCTCCAAAGGAGGTATATACTGTAAGTGAGAACTGCAAGAAAACAATGAGGGGACTATATTTTGGTTGATTGCTTCAAACTATATCCTTCCAATAAACTAATTTTATTTCATTTATCACTCTGGTAGAATATAGCTAGTGTTTTTCTTCCATAATAAATTAAAGGTCATGAGGAGGGAACAGTAGCAACCTTATCTTATCAGGAATGAAATCAATATTCTGTGGTTCTGTTTTAATCCAGAAACATGAAGTACTATAAAACTGAAACAACATTCATAAAGCCTCACATAAAGAAGATAAAATACATATTGTAAATAAATTATTAATTTAACAATTATGGCTAATATAAGCCTTACCTTCTTTGAAAATTCCACTGCTTTTTGTTCACTTTCTTCAACTTTTGCCTTGTTCACACAAGAATCTATTAAGATTGACAAAAAATGATTAGAAATTATTGCATCAGATCTCTGGGCAAAAGATGACTGCCAGCCTGTAATTCTACGTAGACAATCATTTTTATGTCAATTGCTATTAAAGGTAAATTGACCTATACTACACATAAAACATAAACTACCACAATTTTTTTTCATACTAACTGAATTCAATGATAGTATTGTTGAGTCACAAAACCAAGCATTCAAGAATGTATTTGACTAAATCATCATCATTTTAGAGGTTTTCAAATATTTCCCAACTTTTACAATAATATAATTCTTTAAAACTTTTTACAATTTAGTATGGGTGGAGAGGTGACAAAGAATCTATTCTTAAGATTATTAAGACTCGGGTGCCTGGGTGGCTCAGTTGGTTAAGCGACTGCCTTCGGCTCAGGTCATGATCCTGGAGTCCCGGGATCGAGTCCTGCATCGGGCTCCCTGCTCGGCAGGGAGTCTGCTTCTCCCTCTGACCCTCCTTCCTCTCGTGCTCTCTCTCACTCTCTCTCGAATAAATAAAAAAATCTTAAAAAAAAAATTATTAAGACTCAAAATGACCTTTAAAATAAGGCTAGAATGGGGGATACGACAGCATTCATTAATTCAGATTTTCTACAGAAAGATTTCACTTAGGTAACTTCTGATCTGAGGCAGAATGTATTATGTAAATAAGGAAATAAATATTAAATTTCTCAGCTCTAATCAAATATTCCAAAATATAAATAACTGAAGAACCTCATTTTGGTAATATTCTTATTATTACATATACGACTCTATTACGTATCTAGCCATTCCACACCTATTTATTCACCCAAAAGAAATGAAAACATATGTCAATACCCTTGTATATGAAGATTCATGACAGCTTTATTTATAATAGCCAAAAACTAGAAAGAACCCAAATGTCCATCAACAAGTAAATGTATATACAAATTGCAGTATATCCATATGCTACAATACTACTCACTTATAAAAAGGAATAAACTATCGATACATGCACTATAACAACATGAAGGAAATTCAAAACAATTACACTAAATGAAAGAAGCCAGACAAAAAGAGAGTATATCCTATATAATCTATAGTAAGAGAAAACAGATAAGTGATTATCTCAGAATGGAGAGAGATGGGGAGACATGGGAAGGAGAGATTATAAAGGAGAACACAGAAACTTGACAGAGTGATAGAAATGTTTATTATCTTGGCTGTGGTGATGGTTTTAAGTACACATACAAATATCAAAATCTATCCAATTATGTTCTTAATAATGGATAGTTTTTCTCATGTCAAGTACACCTCAATAAAGTTTTGTTTTGTTTTGTTTTTTAAAGAACTGTGTGTAAAGAACTAAGGTGGAAATTGGAAAATGATGAGACAAAGAGGGGGCAGATCTCTGCTATGCTGTCAATGGTTGATAATGATCTTGATTTAAATTTCAGTGGGAAGGTATTAAAGAGTTTTGGGTAAGAATTTGATCAAATTTATGAAAAATACCAGACTTACAGAATTGTAAAGAGACTCTATGTTCCTCAAGTCCAGGTGATTTTAAAATCAAGTTCCATTGATTTCCTATAAGTTCTTGAAGCACCTGCTAATTTTTGCATTTATGCACATGTGTGTGGCTCTAATCAAAGTTCCAAAGCATTCATCAGAAAAAGTCCTCTAACCATAAAATATTCAGAACCATGCATATATTTGATTTATCTGAATTTACAGTTGATAAAACTAAAGCAGAGAAGTTAAATGATTTGTTCACGACCAGATGATAACACATGGATAAGGTAATAATGGGTTTCTCAAGCTCTATTCTCTCTCACTCAATGCCTTCATCTCCCCAACCCCAGTGCTAACAATACACAACTGTACATACCTAGCACACAGTACACAAAAAACAAATGTCTACTGAACACTGAAAAAGCTAGTCAAAATCAACAGAGTACTCCCTTATAACATTCTCAACAAAATATGAAATAAACTAATGAGTTTATCAAGCTTATTATCAAATTTGCACAGAAGCCAGCATTTACATTAATTCTTAGGGAAGGTAAATTGATGCACACTTTCTGAAAAGCATATGGCTTTTCTAAGATCATATCCTCAATTACAGGAATCAATCCTAAGGAAATGGCAAGAAAAAGGCAAACATTTATGCAAAGAATGTTCATAGCAGATTCATTTATAATTGCAAGAACCTGAAAACAATCTAGATGTACAATAAGAAAGGACTGGTCAAGATGGTTATGATATTCCATAAAATGGAATATTATACAGACATCCAAAGTCACATTTTGAAGGTTAACATGAAAAAATTTTCATACTATAAAACTCCATTAAAAATCAGCATATAGAGAAAGAGATAAAAAAAATAAGATGTAAGAAAATGTACTTAGCCAAAAAGTGAGTAATGGTGGTGGAATGTACTGAGCTGAAAAGTGAGATTGGTGGTTTATTCTGTCACTTACATAAGCCTCCAGATTGCTTGGAATAAATGAGCATTGGTTTTAAAATCAGAAAATAATACATAATAATAAGGAATTCATCTTTGAATATTACTGTGAGTTTGCCTTGTGCTATGGAGTGAACAATAATATATAATTGGCATTCCACAGCTGTTGTTTTCTTCCTTTAACGACAAGACAAATGAGTTCATCCCCAATTCTTAGCAATAGTGATTTTAATTAGGTACAAAAACTGTTTAACTGTAATGTCATATAACATAGCATATTTCACAAGAGAGGTTTCACATTATCCTTCAGAGATTGTTCCAGAAAGTACAGCTAACTAGTAGTCTAGGATGATATAAGTTCATTTCCTTACTGATCCAAGTAGATGAACATCATCACCTCAAATTCTTTCCTAGCTTTAAGGTCTACAAAAATTATAAATTGATCTACTTTGATAGAATTAAAAGGTCTTAAGTTACTGAAATAAGCCTGTGTTTCCTTTCTCAAACTTGAACACTAATACCTATTGCACATGTGATTTCTATAAAACCACTGAGGTGCCAATATAAACTGAATCAAAGGATTTCAGAGTCATGTTTCTAAAGAGCAAAGCATTCATTTATAATATGTTTTTCCTATGTGTGTGTGCACCACTGATTTTAAACTGAATTTAAGAGCATTAAAACTTATCAAATAGCTTAATATTTTCAACCACACAAGCAGAACTCTCATGATCAACATAATTAACAATTATAGTGATTGAGTACTCACAGACACAAAGACTTACCAGATTTTAATAAAGGAAGTTCAGTGAGAGCACTACCTTCAGAAAGTGACTATTATACAGAAAAGAGTGAAACACAATCAAAGGACATTGAGGATAATATTACATACCTATCAGATGCGTGAAATCAATGTCTAATCTTTGCCTATACTTGAAATCTGGGTCCATACCACTGCAGTGCAGCACTATCTGTGAAACGCACTCCTCAATTATTTTGTAATACTGTGGCCTGAAAGAGAGAAAGTATTCTTGAATATCTTTTCTACCTATACAAGCCAATTTTCTTAAGAAGTGGTTCAGGGGCACCTGGGGGGCTCAGCTGGTTAAGCATCCGACACTTGATTTTGGCTCAGGTCATGATCGCAGGGTCACGAAATCGATGGCCCCCCATCTTGTGGGAGCTGCATGCTCAGTGCGGAGTCTGCTTTAGATTCTCTCCTTCTCCCTCTGTCCTTCCCCTCGCTCATGCTGTGTCTCCCTCTCTTTCTCTCTCTCTCAAGTAAATAAATACATAAACTCTTTAAAAAAGTGGTTCAGCATGATAAAAGAACTAAGTCTTTTTCTAGCACTGTTAAAAGAACTCTTTCGAGCCACTGCATTCCCTTAAGAGAATTATGCCTAAACTTAACGATGGTCTGGACATTATAGTATAAAACCTATCATAATGTAATCAATTGTGAACACTTGTGACTTAATACTCTAGTTTTTAGGAATTCATGCCTTTGTACAAAGATACTTATCAACCTTATCTACTAACTTATTGTTCCTAAAGTTAATGAAAACAAATGACCTGTTAGTTCTATATCCATGGATACAGAAATGGTTCTAAGCCTCTACAAGTTTTCAGTTTCAGTAAGGGATGAATATCTTGGCATTAGGTGGCAATGTCTTAAATTTACTACAACACTTTAACTCAAGATTAGCTATAATCGCTTACAAAACTAGACTGACCCACAATATTCCGAAGATCTATTTATGCACGTTTTTAAGATTCATTGTATAGAAGCATACACACTTAATATGCATGGCCATAGCCTGAATTCATTCAAAGTGTCAAACGTTTTTAAACATATCCTAATTTTGTAATCTATCAAGATAATTCTGGCCTTAAAAAATAACTACTTGCATACTTCAAAAATTTTTTAAAGTCACTTTTTGCATTAAAATTCAGGGAAAATTTAGTATTTATCAGTGGCCAGTAAATTCAACAGAGAAACATCAGAAAGAAATATTGTATAGAGAAATTATGATATAAACATCCTTAAGATTAGTGTGCTGATAACTAGCCAACCTACTAAAAGTTTGCAAACAAAGCCAAACAGAGTCTAATTGCTCTTATATGTCTTTTGTCGTGGGGCTGGCCTCAAGAGTAAGATTAAATAGTAATATATATTAACCCATTTTAGGCTTTTTCAAGTCATCAACAGTTCTAGGATAAATAATATTGGATTATAATCAGTCTAGTAAATGACTTTTTGGGTAAACAAGGAAAACACAAGTGTTCTCTTTAAGGCCATGTTAATTATCTCTAAGTATAATAAAAGTACTGGTCGCACTTCTACTTCACATCGATGTTCTCAGGATGAAAAAGATGTCATATTAGAGTAACTACTTATATATTGAAAGTTACTGAGAAATGAATGGTTTCATGAAAATTATTTCCCTAGGTAACTGTGTACCCATAGGCACAGTACCCACTTAATTGCCAGAACATTAGAAAACATTTTAATTACCATATTTCCTGTTTTAAGAAAACAGCATATAATTATTTTAGCCATTTTTCTTTTTTTTGGTGGGTAGCAAAGCAAAGTTTATGGAGCGATAGAAAAGAGATAGTACAAAGCTCCCAAAGAGGGAGGGGACCCGAGAGGGTTGCCCTTTAACCACTTTTCTATGTCTCTGTAACATCATGATGTCCATCAATTATTGTAAAAGTCTGAACTATAATAGTTTTCTATATAACTTTAGAACTGTCATCTTTGTTGAAACTATACCTGACCCATGGTTGCCTGCCTTTACCATTTAATCAAGCAAATTCTGAGAAATCAGAGAACCTAGGTTGCCAGAATTTCATGTATATTACAGTATGAAGAACAACTAAGAGTCTCTTGAATAGTTAAATATAAGATCATGACCACAGCTTATAGATAATTTCAGTTACTCAGAAACCTTTCTCTAACTTTCTGGTTTTCAGATATATTTGCAATTACTAGACTCTGAAACTTCTAACTTTTTATCATCATAATCATTTATCTTGAAGAATTATATTACTGATATAAAGCTGAAATATTAGTATTATTTTCTTAGCTAAGATCACATCTATTATTAAATAAATACTAGAAAGGAGAAATAAAAGTAAAACCTAACTTGTTAAAATGGACATGAACTTAAAAAAATAAAATAAAATGTACATGAACTTAAAAGTTCCACCGCAGACACTTCAGTGCTTATTCTGTGCTATCATTATCTAGCAAAGAAAATTCATTACAAGGTCAGGAAAATATGTTGGGTTCTTTGCTACTAAATGTCCTGTCACTGGGGTATCCAGTTTTATAAATAGATCCTTCTGGACCAATTAAAAATAAATTCACACCTTCTAAAATATGTTACGCTAAGTCATCAAACTCTTATACACTATGTATGTACATATATCTGCATATAGTACCTAGCATGAACTACATTATTAGTTTTCCTTAAATATCGAATTCAAATTACACAAATACTAGTACTCTCAGAACCACCTCTTACCTGACGTAATAATCATTTCTGATGAGCAAAAAATGTTGTAGAATGGATAATAAGTAATTTTCAGCAGCAGTGTCCTTCAACATATTATATAGAAGGTGATACACTTCATTCATATCAGTGAAAGTAAGTAAAGGAAAAAAATTAAAACCCTTAATGAAAGTTCCATTCATAACAAAAGCAGCTTCATTTTTTAAAACACTGAAGTACCATTTTGTTTCCCTTATTGTTTCTAAACCTTCAACTCCAGTATTTTAAAATTTACATAAATAAATTTAACCTATGGAACCACTTTAATCTTTTAATGAGAGAAAAAGACTTAAAGAATATTTCCAAGACCATTTAATCAACAAAACCTTAAGCAATCAGTTATTCATTATAAATTACAGGTAGTAGTATGACTGGAACAGCAATGCCATTAGAGAAAACGGTTTACTCTTGATCTTCCCGTGGCTGTGATAGAGGACCTACATTATTCATGTAAGCCACTACTCCTCTATTTTCACCACCACATAATATAGAAGGTAATGGAACATTCTATGGACTGCTAAAATATCACAAACCAGTTTTATTTTACACTGATAAAATATTTAATAATGTGAAATTGTTATTGTCTGCATTCATTTGTATTCCATTATTTAGTAAAAATGGAAAGTAAAGACAATAGAACTTGAAACATTTTTCTTAGGATATAAAAAGAGTGGAAAAAGTTTAGATGCTTTTAATAAACTAGACAACAAATTTCAAAGCTGGATTCACTTTTATAATAAAACTGAGGACCTGGAAAATCAATGTAAAAGGTAGAAGAGGAAATGTAATCCAACATTCTAAAAATAATCTGAAATGTCAACATTTTCTCTGAAGTAGAATTAAGTATATGATGGATTATTTCTTAGACCCCATGTAACAGTGTTGTGTTAAAGTCTCATAAGGCCTTTTAAGTGGTTACAGAATGAAACCCAAAATAGCTTTATGGTAAAGTTTGATTATAAGAGAAATCTATACAAAGGAAGCAAGATATATATTAATATAAAAAGCATTTAATATTATGGAAATAACTGTAGACTAGAGTCACTAATGATGGATAAGAAATTACTAGCATTGATCCCTTATAATAATAACATAGTTAGCCATTGCACACACATTTATCCAATACTTATTTATAATATACTTCAATAGTAGCATTGGAGGCAAAAGATGAAACATAAAAGTTCTGCCCTCAATCTCATAGGGGCACAGAAGTGCACATAAATAAGACAGATAGAAAGTACTATAGAGGTTTCAAGGAGAGGAATATTCCAGCTTTTTGGGGGGGAGCAGTGCAGGGAGGAAGAGGGAAGAAGATATAACAGAAAAATTCCATCTCAAAGGTCATTTTATTTCTGAAGTATTTCCCAATCTCCCCAAAACCCATAAGCAAGAAATTTACTGAGTGTGAAACAAATGGTCAGCAATGCTGTGACAACCATCTTTTAGATCTAAAATCATTTCATATAAAATCGTTGCCATAGGAAGATTATATACTAGTTGTATTTGATTCAAATGCTTCTACCAGACAGCCTTGTTATAGTCAGATACTATCACATCTAAACTTTTTTTTTTTTCACTAAGGAACCAAAATAGTTGGATTGAGAGTAAGGCATTTATATGAATTGAATTGTATCTCTAAACCATTTGAGTACATTTTAATAAACTGAAGAAGTATATTACCTACAGTTACTTATGAACTCAGTGAACTTTTCCCCTCAAATTCTTATATGTGAGGTATATGCCTTAGGTTCTTGTCTATTCAAGACTATTGAGCTGAATATATCTATAATACAGCAAGCCACTGCAGATTTCAGTATAGTTTGTATAAATCATCAGGACAATCTGACAATTCCTCAACATGAATCTCAAGGACAGTATGATAGTGAGGTATTAAAATAAATAAATGAATATAAATTGGGCTGGCAGAGAAGAATTCTAATAATGGTCCACAAAATCAACCAGAAATCCTTTCTTTTCACAACACATGCAAAATTATTTTAATGGTTTGTCAAAAGGATATTCCATTTCTGCTCGAATGTCATTGAGACGGTGTGATAATTCATTTAGGTCATCTTCTTTGTTCTCATCAAATACTTTCAACTGAATATCAAGCTCATCATTCTCTTTTTCTTTTAGATCCTAATATATAAACATAAAATGTAACAAATGAGTAAGAGTTTGACAACACCATATTTTGGTAATAAAGCACAGATACTATTATTCATTTATATACACAAAAGCAATTTTATATTGACCCAGGCACTTATCTTCTGAGAAAGTAAAAGTAAATGTACTATGTATTCTCCTATTTTAAAATAAAAGAACCTCATTGCATTCATTGCATTTTCTTTTCATGCCCCAGGTTTTGAATATTTACATTAAAAATTAACAATCACTTTTACAAAGGGAGGGGGGAACTAATTGCTAACAACCCAAATTGAATGCTGTTGTTTTTGACTAAATACACTAATCAAAGATCACAAAAGAACTCATGCAGTTAGAACATTCACATATGCCTCTGGCGAAAAATGCAAATATAATCAATTGTATTAATGAAGAATAAATGCAAGGATATATTCAAGCACAACAGTCCCAAGTATGGCGTAGAAAGTTGTATAAAGGATTTTATTTTAAATGATATTTTGTGATTTTGAAGGAAAAAGGCGTCAGGATTTTTTATCAAGCTGCATGACAAGCCTCCTCCCCCACTTTTCATTTTTGCTTAGCCAAATCACAAAATACCAACTTGGGCATCAAAGATTTGTTTTTGTAATACATTATAAGCACATGCATTACAAACCTGATAATTTTTAAAAATAATAGTATGAACAAAATCTTTGGAAGCATGCCACACTAGAGATTGTTGGGCTTAATATATATCACCTGGAATATCTTTTAATATGTGTCCATTAAGTTGCAGCTTTCAAAACCCAAATCGATAATCCCAACTGTGGATGCTCAAGGGTGATAATGAAAGTGGGACTAGGATTTCAGAGCTGAGCTTGAATTCTAAAAGGAAATGCAAGCATGGTGTACTTCAAATTAGGTCAATAAAACAAAACAGGATTCATTTCTTGTTTCTATTTTTATTCAATAGAGCAATTATAAATGGAGATGTAATGGCTATTACTAAAGCCAAATGCAAATTTATGCAATTGCTAGATTTTTTCTAACATTCATATAATAATTTACTGAAAATTTGCATACAGAACATATAACAATACTTAGTATGTTTCTATATAATTTCATATAAAATATATGACAAATAAATGTATTTACACTTAGTTCCCTCTTTAGTAACTTGCTTTAGGTCTAGTTTTCAATTTTTAAATCTATTGGAATGCAAAATTATCTATAATTGGTGGGTCATATTTTCAAGTGATTTAAGAATTCCAGTCAGACAAGAGCAAAATCCAGACACACCTAATATGCTGGTCATTGCAGAAACAACTGTTAACACATTTTACAATATGGACTTTTCCTTATTCTTCTGTCACAATATGTTCTTTCTTAGATGCTCACTACAAAACCTGAATACTCTTAAATATGTTAGAAAAACAGAAAAATCTAATTTAAATACTGCCATTTAATTAGCATCAAAACATTATAAAACATGGACTCAATCTGCATAACTATTTTCTGTAAAAATAACTGGTTAAATGTTTAACTGTTTTTAATTAGGACAACATATTAGTTATAAAATATATTATATAGTATGTGAACATATATAGCACAATATAAAAACTTAGATACAAGTGCAATCCTGTATTATTTAATAGTATCCATTAAAATAAACAGATATGTATATATACATATACACATATATAAAACTTCCTTTCATTCAAATATCAAATCTTGAAAAATATATCTATAAATTCTTAATGAAATAAACATTTATTAGTTTTTCTATAGCACAAATATGATATCCTATAAAAGGAAATGGAAATGCATCACTAAAGTTTTATACTTTAAATGCAGACTATATTACTGAATTACAGTATTATTAACTATTAATAATGTAAAATATTATAAATATGTTTCATATTATAAATATGTTTATTTTTTAAACATAATTGCTCTATGGATATGGAACATTGTTGGCAGTCTCTAAAACATATAATTAAATCTCTATAATTTGGTATACTTCAAAGGAAATTCTATTACTAATACATGACTGATTACCAGTCAAGCAATCAAAACTGAGTCTTCAACAGAATAAGAAAGAGCTTGTTGGTATTTTAAAATAAAGATGCCTGCTGCCTACAGACGTGATTTCTTACTATCTTGTTCCTTCACATATCTAAATTACCTAATATTTTCTAAATTTATTTAACGAAATAAAAGGCAGATGGAGAAAACTTCACAAGAAATCAATATGAGTTACCTATAGAGCAAATACTAGCTTAAAAATCACTGTATAGTATATAACAACTCACTAATCCCAAATTACTAAAGCAAATTTATTCCATGTAAATGAAGTATAAACTCCCTTTAAACACCATAATTTATCAATAGAGATAGGTGAATTTTAAAAATAAATTTTTACAGAATATAATTAAAATAACTGTCCTTGTCTTGAGGATTCTGATTATTGATGAAGAAAGTTCTACTGTACTATATTATTACGATGGTCTCAGGAGTTACTGAAATACTAAGAATGATTCTTCCTTAACACTTAATGATTCCAGAGAGGTACAATTCTTTTTAAGTTTTTATTCAAATTCCAGTTGGTTAACATACAATGTAATAACAGTTTCAGGTGTAGAATATAGTGATTCAACACTTCCATACAACCAGATAGGTCTAATTTTTTTTTCATGTACAATTTGTATTAGCCTTAGCCACATCTAATCTGCTGCTTTGAATACGACAGATTCTAGAAAATTAAGCATTTCCTCCTGTTAAAAACTCATCTATGACTATATTATTAAGCTTCAATGCACGCATACAGATGTTTAATACTCCCTAAATTCTAGTGGTTTAAGCTTAAATATTAATAGTAAATTAAACAATGAGTTCATTAGATAATAATTGACATGTCAGGTACATCTAAAATACATTAATCCATGACCATTCTGACCTTTGTTCCAAATTGTGATAATAAAACTACAACAACTTCAGTCATGAAATCTATGGTATTAAAGAAAGGATCTCTAAATCTTCTGGGTCTTTCTGCCTGAATTCTGATTCTCATCTTATATAAAAAGTACCTGCGGAAGATTTGTTTTCTTTTCAAACCAAACATCTCTGCCTTACCCTCAATAAGATTTTGATATATTCTCTTTAGAGGGACATGTTCAACCTCTTTAGTTGAGAACCAGGGCTGTATGTAACCATATTTTGCTCCACTGTCTTAGGGAGAAAAAAAAAAAAAACCTGAGAATTCTTGTAGGTTCTATTCCAAAATTTTAGGAGGCAGACACATGACACTTCCTACTTTTCTCTTGCTGAGGAATCACTGAGATCTGGGAATCAGGTCAGACTGAAGAGATTTGACAGTTAAAGAAAAATCTAGCTGATAAATATATGAAGAATGCATTTATTAAGAAGTACATGGTGCCACAAGAGGCTTAAAATACAGCTACAGGGCCGATGGGAAAGTGTAGCGTAGAATGACGGATGCAAAATCTTCACTGTCAGTGTAACCAAATATACCATGAGACCACTGAACCCAGCAAAGATGAATACACCAGAGAAAAGAAAAAGGTAAGGACAAGAGCTACCATTCATTCTCTGTCTGAAAAGAGGACAACTTAAATAAATTAAAATGAGAGTAACAGTTTTTTTGATCAAACATTCAGTAGTATAAGGCAGAAAATGAATATTCAATTATAAATAGATACAGGGAAATAAAAAATGAAAGAGTAATAGCAACAACTAAGGCATAATATGTGGCATCTTGGTAAATGAGTAGAGGATGCTAAGGAGCCCCTGTAGCCAGCAAGTGTCCAAAGACATTAATACTCTCCCAGAAACTGAGGACCACCCCAGTGAGGACAAGCATGGAAATCAATGAGTAGATAACTCAAAGGCCACACTAGAATCAAGATTATAACATTATCTGTAACTACCTACAGCCACAGACTTTTCATAAGGAAAGATTTCTGACAAAACAAGAATAAATGTGTAACTAGTGAATGTGCCTGGTTAACTGCATATTAAACCTCCATATGGGTCACCTAAAATGTTGCTTTGATTCACTGCAACCAATTCCCTGTTTTTCTAAAGTCATGGATTAAAGTACCATTTAAAGTATAATTGACACAGAACTTTCTTTTTTTTTAATATTTTATTTATTTATTTGAGAGAGAGGATGAGATAGAGAGAGCATGAGAGGGGAAAGGGTCAGAGGGAGAAGCAGACTCCCCGCCCAGCAGGGAGCCCGATGCGGGACTCGATCCTGGGACTCCAGG